TAGACGCAACCGTCTGTGCAGTGTCCCTTGGAAAAACCCCCATATCTCCCGAGCTAGCTAGTTAAATAATGGCACGTGCATCCGTCAGTACAACGTCCGACCCTCTCCAGGCCTTCAGCCCTAAAAATTATAAAGTCAGTAGTTCGATAGTTAGTTAGGCAGACAGAGAGGATTATTGTGGAAGAAATGTTAATACACACGCAGTATAATATTTGAAAACACCCTCGCATGTTTATATATTCTATAGGATGCTTGCGTTGTTATAGTGAAAAAACCAGAGCGGATCCCAATGATTGTGCAAGAATATTAATACAAAAATTTAATTAGCATTCGGAACATATACAATTTGTTTTGTTTGGTTGCAGTTAGGGGTTGCAAATAGGGGACATCCTGTGAGTGATTGGTCGTTTTCAGGAAAAACAAATGGCAAACAAACGGACGGAGAGACATCGTACTTAGCGTTTAAATCGTTTCAGAATCTTAACGCTGGATATGTAGCTTCTCTAAGGCGTAAATCTAAATGTTACAAATATATATATATATATACGATAGCCCAATAAAGTCTACATACAGTACCGAAAATTAAGGATTCTCTTATGAAAAACTGCAATCATGGAGTGACAGTACAAAAGTATACTTCATAAGAGCCAAAAACGTATATTAAATAACACGTCAAGACTGTTTTCTGACTCACAACTTTATGTTGAATTTATTGGGCTACCGTATATATAATATGTAAGTCTGTCGATGACTATTATTTGGATATATTGGGATCGCTTCCGTTTTAAAGAAAGAAATCTATCAATAAAGAAATGTATGGAAAAATTTTTAACTCATAATTATATTATCTTACGTTAATATCTTATGTTAAAAACTTTCTTTTGCACTTCGTAGCTGCAGGGCACGTAAAAAACAAGTTTAGTTAACGCAAATATATCACACCATTGAAAGTTTTTGCGTCTCTACAAAAAAAAAAAGAAGAAAAATGTAAGCATTAATAAGACAAAGAAAGAAAACTGCGTTCATGTTACCATAACAAACCGCAAACAAACCTTATAGTAAACAAAAATTTAAAAGCAAACAATACAAAAAAAAAAGCAGAACAAATGAACGATGATTACGGCATTTTGCAAACCAAGATCAAATTTTATGTAAAGTCGCACATACGCTTGCATTCATATAATACGAAAGAGTAAAAATATTAAAAACAACGACAAGAAAACTCCATTTTATTTGCATAAACATTCCATGCCTGATGGGAATGGAAACTAAAAGATCAAAACCAAAAATTGATAACAACAAAAAAAAAAAAGAGGAGAAAATTTTCATATATTAAGCACAAAGGGGGAAAACCACTGCAATAGCCTAAGAAGAGTTTATTTTTGGAATAACACGAACGCCAATGGAATAATAATACTTGGGGCAGACATTAAGCATATGTTTAGGTAGTCAAGCGGAATTATGTTCAAAGAATAGTGAAAATTGGCAACACTGGAGCAATTCTCTCGAGACATATTTAAATTAAGAAACTCTGGAATCTGTCGCGCACCTTTCGCCTTGATGAAGCTGCTCTAGAAGAATTGTGCTTGAAAAATAGCGAAACACGTCTGTAGCGAGTCTTTCAAGGCGTTTTCCACTTAAGGGATTCTGGAGTGTTTCACGTGCTTCTTGTCTCCCTGGAGCTGCACTTAAATTAAGGCGCTCTAGGATCTGTTCCATATTTTTCATCCCGATGAGATTCACTAGAAGAGTCGTGTTTGAAAAGTGATGAAAAATAACGACGTTGGAGCGATTCTCTCGAGATGTATTTAATTTAAGGGGCTCTAGTGTTGCTACACTAGAAGAATTGTGTTCAGCGAATATTAAAAACAACAATGATAACGCTGGAGCAATTCTCCCGAAGCATGTTTAAACTAAGACACTCTGGGTCTGTCCCGTATTTTTCGTTTCGATGAAACTACACTAGTGTATTTTTATTTAAAAGTTATTTTAAACCAAAGCGTTCAATATATCGTATAAAAGCAATAAAGTGCAGCTTCAATTAATGTTCTCGGCCCTGTTCGACAGAAGACTGCCCTTCAATACGCTTATAAATATTACCGCTAATAAGGCGAAAAACACATTGTGCTTTGTCAAAGCGCTGAGTCAAGGAGTGTCCCGACTTTCAATACACTACTCCTTTGCTTAATAGACCGCTAGCGGGGCCCGTTCTGTTATATTGTTCGATTATTTGGGATTCACAATATGATCTTTGCCGTAAACAGGTTGAGTCCATATAAAAAAGCTTCTGCTGTTTTGCTTGCGATGTTTGCCATCCATCCTCATATCCATCCATCCAGATGAGTTATGGCAAATTTGTTTTTTGTTCAGAAGCTTCTGAATAGCACATCTGACTTCAAATACTTGATATCTAAAATATATTTCAACGATCCACAGCGATTGTCTAGGCTTTTTAGAATACTTAATATAAATTACAGAACAAACTGTGGGAATAGCGACACAAATATACTATAGCAGCGCATTATGGAAGCTGGAGAAATTAGTTTTTCTCCAAAATCTACAGTGGCACGGTCTCTTAATTAGAGAATATATCTACAATTCATAACCGTTACACAAAAATTTAAGATTGTTTTGCCAATTGGCGATGCGTCACTTTGCTGATCGCTCCTTCTTCTGCCTCGATCTTTTATATTTTTACCTTTGAAACGCAGTTGTACTAATTTTTCGTTTAACATCGTCTGTTGATCTTTAGCCAAAGCCCGCTGCCTATTGTGGGAGCCTTTAGACATTATTCATGTCCATCTGTCCTGTTCAATTTTTTCGTATTACATTTGCTATAAATTTTAAGTTGTGGTTTTTTGTCTATTATATAAATGTGGATCGATCAGACCCACGTCGGTGTGTGTTGCAGTGTAGCCAATAGATAAGAGTACAGGGTATTACTTATATTTAGATGTTGGGCTGGCCAAGAACGTATACTATAAATAAACTATTTGATGTTTTTTTCGGGATTTTACAAAGGGAGGAATAAATGCGATAAGCCAGCGTTCGCCAGGAGTAGGTACAAGAAAAAATGAAAATTAATCTCACGCTGTTCGTAGTTTCCCAATTGTATAATTTATACTTTAATATTAGTATTACATATACACGAACGTAAAATTAAAAGTATTTTTCAATAAAAAATGGCGGCGTTTTCTGCGTTCAAAAATGAAATTTAAAGAACGTATAGGGTAAATATGATATTAAAGGGCGTAGTTGTGTTGTAATCAAACTATGTAGATTATATAATCACTCAGCACCCTTCCCATTAGCAACAATAATAGGAACAATCAGAGTACTCCAATTAATCACTCTTTGCTAATGTCTATCATTGCATTTGTTCTACTATCCTTCCTGCCGGCTATGACTATTTGATTTGTTCACATGTACACTGTCAACTCAAGGTTTCATAACTGGCACGATATGTGCTTCGGTACACATAACTCTTAAAGCTTTGCCTGTTTTGAAATAGCTTTCGTGTGCATATGGTAGAAAACCCCTGGATAGGAACTATGAATAGGAACTTCATGCTATTTTTGTCATTTTTCCGAATGGTCTTTTAGCCTTGATTTCAACCAAGCTGGATTGTTTCAATTTCGAGCTTTCGTCAGATAAAACTCTGATATTGGATTTGTACCGATGTAAACTGTCCCAAGTGCTAAACTCAGATTTAAAATGAAAGGAGATATCAAGGCATCTTCCCGATAAAGACCTTTTCAAGATTTCGTCGAAAAGAAAGAAACCTTTGTCCAGGAACATTTTGTTGCAACATTCTACAAAGTCTTAAAATTATACATAAATCATTCTTATCTACTGAAATGTTATCTTGTTATTAGCTTGTGAAACTGTCCTATCAAAGATAAAACAATTTTTGCTATAATCTAATTCCGAAAACCTTTATATATTGTCAGGAAGTGGGGTTAATAGCCCTATCTTGGCGTTAAGACTTGTCACTAATCATAAGAGCTAAACTATGTTTCTCTCTTGTAACAGTTCTTGCGACTTTGTACCAAAACTACATCAAAAAAAGGGGGAAAGAAATAAGAAAGCCAAGGCCGATTATTAGATACCCTACTCGACTTCGCCTAATACACTTATTCACATGTTTTGGTAATAATACACTAAAAGTTTCACATTATTTTCATGCATGCATACTTTTCATGAAAGGCAGCATATTAGAGGAATCCTTGCATAAGCTGATGTATAAAAATTAGACCTACGCGGCGCAAATTCGGTTAGGCTGATTTCTGTGTTAATTTGCTATTATGAACTAATTTTCACCATGAAATATTAAATATATTATCTTTCTATTATATAAAGCTTCAGTTTTCCTTGGAACGGCTATAAGACACGGACTCAAACAATTACCCTGATCGAAGCAAATTTTTCATGTCAATTTAGAATGTCCAAATATGGCTATAAAGCGAGTATTGGTCCAAAAATTTTGAAATTTGCATTTTTTTTACGTATGACGACTTTTCAGAAGAAGGTGTTATATGGGGAGTGGTCGAAAAAGTTTCAATAGCGTTCGTGCTTGGGTTAAAGTAGGACAGTGTGCCAAATTTCATGAAAATATCTCAAAAGTTGCGACCTGTGGCTAGAACACAAATTTACATGGACAGACATCAAACCGGCGGATGGACAGACAAGCTTAGATCGATTCAAAAAATGATTTTGAATCGGCCAGTATAACAAAAGATGGGTCTATCTTAGCCCTTTCTGCGTACTACACACGTCCGGATAAGCTGAATATACTCTGTACCACAAGTGGTTTAGGGTACAAAACTGTTTGTAAGGGCTCTATGATGTCGCCCACAATACGCTAGTTTTAGTTCAACTCTACGGCCCTGTGGCTTCCCAGTAAAGCATATTAGTGAATTCTTATATAATTGCCAATGAATTTCTATTAAACCACATGAGAATTATGTGACATTATAATAAAAGGAAAAAATCTTTTCTAGGGTTCTATTGAAGAATGGCTGCAATTATTACGTCTTGAAGAGTATATACAACCTTTGCTGGATCAAAATTATAAGACGGTGCGTGATGTTACTCAAGTGACATGGGAGGACTTAGAAGACATTGGCATCGTTAAGCTGGGACATCAAAAGAAAATCTTACTTGCCATAAAACGCGTCAAAGACATTATCAGCGGTAAATGGAATCCCGGTGGTAATGCATATCATCAACAGGTGAGGACAGTAGCGTAAGTGAACGAAACACTAAATTGATTGCTTTCACGAGACATGAAATACTCTGCTCCGCTATAAAAATTTAATTATTCTTTTTCTTGAGTTGTAACAGAAATGTATTTTACGTTTTCACGTTTCTCTCAACTTTTGTTGTCGTTATTAGTTAACATTTTTTTCAATTATTTATTTATTTATTATTTATTTATTTGTTCGTTTGGAAAACTTTTTTTATTATAATTCAGATTTATACCAAACCCTGGCACCATTTGCCTCCTACACCCACTTACTTACCCACTACACGTGTATCATGGGACGATTCAAAAATTTATGCGAATACCACATCGACAACCGACGCTTGCACTCGTGAATGTTGCAGTGGTAACGATGTGGTATTAATAAAGGTAAAGAAAGACGGAGAGCTATTATTTTCACATATAATTATTATTCTTAAGAATTTTTTTTTAAATTCTTAATTACTTCTGCTTTGTTCCTCTTTTTGTTTTGTGAAAAACTTGTAAAAATTATATTTATTTAAATTTCTTAAAGGTGCGTCAACCACGTGGCAAAAGCTTAGAATCCCTGGAGGACATACACGATAATAGCACACGTAGCCATTTGACTTTCAGTCATTACACTACCACAGACTATGGTCATTTTGCTCATCCCTCACAAATGCAACAACAACAGCAAGCCATGCTACAACAGCAACAACAACATCATTTACAACAAGCCAGTTTAATGCAAAGCGGTGCTGGCGGCAGTGGAGGTGCCGGTGGGCAAACGCAACGTTTGTTAGGCAATCCTGCTACTATGGTGAGAATAATTAATTTTTTTGATTAGTTGTGTGATTTGATAAAAATTTAAATGTTTTCTAGAATTGGCGTCGTTCCTACGATGACGGTGATATCACTCCCACTAATGATGCTGCTGCCAATCGTGATTTAATGTACGAAGAAGGCGGTGGAACCTTGCCGCGACAACAACGTGGCATTCTGCAAAGAGCTGTTTTGAATACAATGCCACCTTTAGAGCATCATCACTATATGAATGCAGCTGCAGCAGCTGAATATGTTTGCCATACCTCGGGCTTGGTAGCTGGTACGAATGCAGGTGGTGTTAATAATTCCGCCGCGACCGCTGCCGGCGTAGGCGTAGCAGCTGGCACTGTTTTGGACAATTCCAGTTTAACTAATGTAAGCTTTCCTTATTTACTTCCATTTTCTTCATCTTCTCTGTTTTCATTTTTGTTTGATTTTTTTTCCGCAGCCTTACATAACTGGAAGTCCTCTGACTAGTAAAAAAATTGCTCCTGAACCACCTCGTCGCCATTGTAGCATACGCAATTCTCGAACTTTAAGTCAAGACGGCACACAAATCTCACAACATTCTGCAGCGAATATGTTTTATGGCCCTGGGGGTACTCCCTTACATTCGCATAACGTTTATTTGCAGCAGCAACAACAACAACAGGTCACTAATCAACCCATTTATGCCAATTACGCTACCATACAGCAGACTACAGCCGAAATACACTGTGAGAAATTTCATGACAATAAGGTAAGCTATTACGCTTGCTTAGTCATTAATCTTCCAATCTTTTGTCCTAAGATAAAAATTTGAATCTTAACGCAAATGTCCTACGAAATCATTACTAAGGCGGAAATCTCTGTGACGGTCTTAGAGAAAAGATTTTTCTGCCAGTATTTTCGAAAGCGATGGAAATGGAAAGAATAATAATATTCGAGGTGCTTCCTCCCAGAAAATAATTGCTTTTCCAAAAAGCCAAGACTGTACCAATTCTTTCGAGGCGTATTTAATTTAAAGAACTTTGCGATCAGTCACCCAAATTTGAATTAAAAAAAAAAAAAAAATTATCCGGTACAGTTATCTACAGCAATTTTGATTGTTATGTAATTGGCGAGTACTGCGATTTTCGACTCAAAAAGCAACCCGTTATTGATAATTAATGTTCAGATTAACTTGCCGAAAATCCCCTACCTGCTTCACAGAGATGTTATTTTAAAAATATCATAAAAAATTCGAATGGAAAAAATGAAATCTGGAGAAGTTATCTTATAGCTCGCAGTTTTTAAACATGATTTTAAACATGATTTCTTCTCGAAAGAAGTCAAAGAAATTATGTTCTTCTAAAATGGTCAGCGAGTCAACCACAGATGATTCGCGGTGTTTTAAAAAAAAAACAGGGACAACATTCTTTGGCTGGGCCTTCATTCGGAAGAAATTATATCAATGTTCACATGTAGGATTTCAGGGATCGCTTTTGCCTTTGCTTTATTATAGTACCTATAAAATTGACAGCTTGCTACATGTGAGCAAGCTTTTCGAAGACATCACGACAGAATTTTCCTTTAACTTCTTTTCGTTATAAGTCTATGACTATTTGTCGCATTCTTATATAAAATTTTATCTCTCTTTATTATCTCATTAATTTTAGTCAAATTCAAGCATTGACTCTATCGACACTATACCTTTCGCTAATGAAAATACTGGCACTATCAAGCAACGTTTATTAAATCGCCAAGAATTGTCAGGAGCCATAACACCGGGCACACAAAGCACTCACTTGCATTCCTCCTCGTCGTCGTCGTCATCGTCATCGACCAACACCATAGCTAACATAGCTCATTCGTTTCACTCGCTGAAAACGTCTTCTTCCCTACACGATGCATCTCTGATACGTAGTGAAAGTATTGGCAGCACTACTAGTGGAGGTAGTGCAGGTTTAGTGCACTTGCGTTCACCTACTTTACAATACCCACCCGTTGCTGCGGATAGTGCACCGTCATTGCCTGGCTTAGGAATGAGTGATGAGACTAACAATGATACGAATATTGAACCAAGTGCCATAGCAACACCGGCGGTAGCAAATGCAGGTATTAGTGGTTCGTCTGCGATATCGGCGGCCGGTAATGGTCCAACACCTAAGGTTTCTGTGAACGTGCTCAACGATATTGGCAATATGTTAGCCAATCTAACTGATGAACTCGATGCAATGCTGGAAGAAGAGAAACGGGTAGGCTTAAATATAGACAGTGAATAAAGAGAGAAAATGTAAATGCCATTTGTGACATCTTTACAATCCCCAAAAGCTGGTGCTATAATATAATTATAAAAACACATCTTTTAAGGTCTTCTCTCCGTTGTCTTTTCCCAATAATGATACTAAACAAATCCATAAAGGGTGTGTGCATTGATAACGTAACTTGGTTTAATCTCGAAAACACACAATCCATTCAAAATATGTAGAAATGTGTAAAAGTGTATGTGCGTGTGCGTTTATGTAGCTACATATAAGTATCTATATATCAGAATTTAGATATCGTTATTTTCTTATATAGAATTTATGTACTCTTATGATGTTTTGCTTATATAATTTTCATTTTTCTGTCTTGAATTTTTAATATTTAATATTTATTAAGATTTTTCTAATTAATTTTTCACATCTGACTTCTTCGTCTCATATTTTTGCCAAATTTTTAAAGCACAACCAAACCTTCCTAAAACCTTGCTAAAAGCAAATTGGAAATTTTTGAGAGAGAGGGAGATCGTATACCGATATTAAGCTTGACGTTAGTCTGTTGATTTTCGATTTCAAATCCATTTTCCGTTATGAAATATTTTTGAACAAATTTCAAAATATATAAGAAAAAGGTCCTTAAGATTTTGCATTATTCCCCTTTAACGTTTTAACATTTCAACATTTAAAAAATTTAATCAACTTCATCAGAACTGCTTTATGCTTATAAAGCCTTATGTGAAAAATAAAAACACTAAGAAAATACTTGCTATTAATACTATTTTCCTCAAATCCTTTACTGATGCTTTCCTTAATAATGTTTTTGCCCGGTAAGCCGTCTTGGTACTCATGAAGATGGGTTCTTCAAGTACGAACTTCCCCAAAGTGAATGCGATATTTAAGATTTTTATCACTTGAAGAGGCTCTGACATACCAAGTAATCCGTTCGTAAAGTACGGGCAACTAAACAATACAATGCTTTTCAGGCCTTAAGTTATATTTTTGTGAAACACGGGATCTTGTTACGATGGTGACAAGCAACTGCTGCAATAAAAACCTTTCTTGATAGAAAAAAATGAATAGTCTGGACTTTCTTCCTAAGCCAAATCTGGCACATACTATTCCGTCTTAAGAACGAACCTGCCAAGATTCATAAGAAAGCAGCCATCTATCATGCTTTCGCCTGCCTTACCTTGAGAGCAAACAATTCAAATTTAAAAAAAAATTAAAACACTCTAGTTGGACGCGGCCAGCCAATAAACACCGTAAATCATTTCGTTTAGCGTAGTTACTCGTATAAACGATTTTCAAAAAAATTCTTTAGATGAAAAGGATGTTTGGAAAGGCCCGAACCGAATCACTTTGAATAGCGTTCGTCTTAGGGCCAAGACACGCTAATTTACCAAATTTCATTAAAATATCTCAACAATTATGGCCTGTACGTTGAGCACAAGAAATTAAGGCAGACAAACAGACACACAAACTCAAATTTAAAATCATTTTCCGAACCGTTCGGCATAATGGAAGGTGGATCTATCTCACGTCCATTTGGATATTGTATAAATCCGCACAAAGCCATATTGTCGTCTGAATTAGTTGTAAAAAGTTTTCATAATAATAGTCTGCAATAATCATGATTCTTTAGCTATTCATCCTTGCGGCATTTATCTCTTTGATAGTGCAGTGGTTAGTACCCTACGTATCATTAAGAAAGCCGATTTCAAATCCCTTTCTGGTAGCGAGTTTTTTCAAAATATCTCCGAACCTGCGACTTGAACACAAGAAAACAAAACGGGCTGGGGCGACGGACAAGCTTAGAATCAACGTAATAAAAGTTGGACCTATCCCAGGTCTTTCTGGATGTTGCATACATCTGTACAAACTTAGTATACCCTTGTAGAACAAGCGGTGTAGGCTATAAAAAGAAGTAGACATTGTGTGAAAAAGAAAGTTTTCAATTTACAATTAACTTACTTGCGGAGACATTACTTAAAAGCAGGGAAAGAAAGTTAGATTTTACGGACTAAAAAAAGAAAGAATATTGAGTGAAAAGGTAGTGTAAGCGTCTGACCGGCCGTGATGGCCGGTTTCTTATTCTTCCGCAATTCGGTAAATGAACAACAGTTGCTTTACTGTGTTGAGTTGTCATCGATAACTAGTTGTAAAATCGTTTATTGTAATGTTAGTCCACTATGAATTGGCTTCACTGGTCTTCACTGTTTATAGTTGTCAACTTTCAAATGTCCAATTTTTAATTTATATCTGAAAGGTGCGGAAACATAGCAGTGTTTCCAAACAGCACCACTTGCTAAGATCCTTTTCCAAATTTGTATTTTATACGCACGATCTGTTAATCTCTAATCTACTGCGACCGCGAAGTTTTTGTAGTTAGATACAATAGTCTATTAAAAATTTAAAGCATTTTGTATTTATCTCCTTAAATTTTCTATTAAATTTGTAATGTTTATTTTAATATTATTATATAGAACTTAATTTAAAAAATATTTGAGAAATTTTAAAGAGGAAAGCTTTTAAAAGAATATTTTTTGTACGTTTTCACATAAAACACAATATAAAACTGAACACGTTAACAACTAAATTATATATATAATTTAATAAGGAAAAGAAAGAGAAAAAGATGAATTGAAGGAATTAGAATTTAATAAAAAAAAAAAGAAGAAAAAATCACTACAATTTAAGACAATGTTTAAGTATACTTAACGACTCTTTTCAGCACATTTATACACATTTATAAAAAGAATTCATTAATGAAAAAAAAAGCAAAAACAAAAGTTATTAACAAAAAGAAACAAAAAAATAAATATTTAGTCTAATATAAATTAATTAAAATTTATTTATATATTACGCAGGTATTAAGATAAATAAAATCATTAAAAGTAATGACTAAAAATTCCACTACCTAATTGTCTTAAATATAAAACTAAATGTGTAAATTTAAATTTATTTAAATTTTAAGGTGAATTTTATTACTTTATAAATCTTATCATATAAGTTGTATGTATTTTAAGATATTTTTCTTTCTTTCCTTTTTCTCCTTTAATTGTGTTTTTTTTTTTTTTTGGCTACAGGTATAAAGAGCGCTCAGTCAGCAAAGTCATAGCAGTAAGTTTTATTAAGAGAAAAAATACCAGAATAGAGAAAATCTTGGAAAACATTTATTAAAATTCATAAGACTTTTGCGAAGCAAAACCTGTATCTGTAAGCTATAGCGAAAACAAAGGCGGGTTCGCTGAGAGGCTGAATAGATTTTGAAAGTTCGTGGTACGATTTTTTTAAAACTTCCTGTTAGGTGCTTTTGCTTGCGATCGATTTGGCAATTTGGCCCGTCGTTAGCCATTATCGTATATTGGGCGTACACTCTGACAAAATGCTGCTCTCCGTCGCTTATAATTGAAAACTGAAAACAAATTGATGAGCATAGCAGTACCTACTAGACGCACATCCACGAAGCTGTGGCTATCCCTTTCCTCATTTCTTTTTAACAGTCACCGTTTTGCATAAATAATAGGAAATCACTCGGAGAGTGTTAAAAAAAAGTATCCCTCAACGAAAGTTGGCGCATGTATTAGCATTGTCGCTTCGCTGTAGGGTTTATTAGAATTCTTACAAGGCATCTTGGTTAAAGCTGATACGGATGTAAGTTGCCGCTCGTTACGTTTGTCTGGCTTTTTCGCGAGGTAATTTTTCGTTGATCGCATTAAACCATAATACTGTGACCAAAAAATAAGTTGAAGCTCTCATCTAGACTCCTTGAGTACTACGAAATCATGAAAGTTTTTTTTTTTTGTCTTTGACGTCTATCTAGAATTCCATGTTAATCTGCCCAGTTGCTGTAGAGTTAGAGGTGTTACAATTTTTACTATGTGTGTGAAGCGTGGATTTCAACCTGTCTAGGCGTCATGAAAAGCATTGGTACTGAACATTGATTGGAACTTTGATCTACGCATACGACCCGAAAACAACTGATCAGTCAAACGAATATCGTGCAAAAGACGAGCCAAGATCGCTCAAAAATCAAGGTGGGGTTAACAGTCTTTTTCCATTATCCTTAATGTTACCCACTATGAATTCCTTCCACTGACCTAAACAGTTAGTAGGGAATATATTTTTGGTCACAGTAGTAAATAAACTTAATTTTTTTCTGAAGTAAGCAATGACCTAAAATTTGTATTAGAAAAATTATGAAAAAATTATGTAAAATAATGATCGCGATCGGCTTACATTGCTAAACTACCTAACCTATAGCTTTTACCCAGCTTCTTCAATTCAAAAGCTTGAGAAGAACAGTTCACTTCTCCAATATTCTATACGAAAATATTAAAATATTTTTTTAATTGTGAACAATCACTTTGTACAAAAAGTCACAGTATAAAAAATGACGAAATGCGACTGCGGTCAAGGTCAGGAGATTAGCCAATCAATGTCTTCATATATACTTTTGGGATAGGGACTTTCCTCTCATGTAAGTGAAGTAAGCTTTCTCGTTCTTCTGCACTTTAAAAGTTATGTGTCTTATAGAAAATTTTTTATTTGATGTTTTTTTTTTATTATTTTATGCTTTAATTTGTTTGTGTCATAACTTTACGTTTCTTCTTACGTAGATCAAAAAGTATGAAATAAAATATAAGAAAAATTATGTAAGTGTTATTCCATTTAAATAAAATTTATATATAAATAAATAAATGAAAAATTCATTATTGACCTTCATTAAATTCATTATAACCTTTCGAAAGCCGAGGAAAGGGAGTTAGTTAGTTCCTTCGTTCGTTCGTGCCTGGTCATTCCACTGTCTTAAGAAATCGTTATTCATGTAGATTGGGACCTTGTCGCAAATAAC